GGAGGCGGCTAAATGTAGCTCAAACGGGTTGTAAAAGGTTAAATAAAGATAGTAACACAAGCACTCAATAACAGAGTTTAAAATATATAAACAGAGCTTTTTACCGATTTATTTGAAGCTCCTAGTTTTGCGATCCATCCCTGTAGCTGATGCTTTACTTGGTATATTCTTTGATATGACAGCTCATTTTTGGGGTCCCAAACCCATTTACTGTTCTGTGTGCGATCATTTAAACACACGGAAAATACTTTCAGTTTACACAATCATGAAACTTTCGGTATGACCCACAACATGATGCTGAGTTGAATGAAAAAGAGGGAAATACACCGGTTACCTTTTCTACTGTAAAGCAAAGTGACTACTTTTTACGTTTCCTTTATGAAACCACAACGTTCTTGTAAAGTGGGGGAGTCACGTTTGTCTGTTTCTGGTTGGGATTAACTTAACTTGACAGAATGATTTCCTTTTTTTATGAGTAAAAATGCCTGGCTGTGAGGTGTAGCAGCCCCTGGGTCCCTCTGTCCTCTGCATGACGTATTTATTTATTTATTTCTATGTGAAAATGCGTACAGTCAACACTTTAATCAGTTGTTATCTCAATTCAGTTAAAAAAAAGCGGGAAATTGTATTTTCAGACGCTTTCAGAGATCTACTTTGTTGTCAAAATGTAAAATGAATGGAGCTCGTCCCCTGTTTGTACAGTGAAAAATATCTGATTAAACCTTGAGTTTATTTCTCTGGACTGACCCACCTAAAGCCTGAGCTGCGTTCAACAGCCTTTCGGGGAGGAATCTTTCCCTCAGATTTAAGCAACTTTTGATGAGTTGAATCTTTTGGTCTGCAGACGACCAAGAAAACCATTTTTTTGGCACTTACTTGACTTTTAACCCTTCCAACCAGCATCACAGCACCTCATCATTCAGTGAATTAGTGGTTAAAATAAGTTTAACAGGTTAAATGGCTGGGATTTTCCAGTAAAAGGCCCGCTTTTGAACGCAGCCCCGTTACTCTGAGCATGCTTTATTGTGCTGGATTTCTCCTCCGGTTGAATCGTTCCTTGTTTTATTGAATGCAATTTGAGGACCAGTTGAGAAACTATTAAAATATTTGTTCTAAATAAAAGTAGTCCTGACTTCCTTTTTTTTTTCCAGACACAAAGGCAAACCTATGGAATTTACAACTGTTTGCAAACATTTGCTTCTGTGGGTTTCTGTGTGAGGAGGAAGAAGACTCATTAGTTCCAACAGAAATTAAATGGAAGTGAACAGTATCCAGAAAATCTGCTGAGTTTATTCCAGAAAAGACATTTATGATGGCAAACCTGCAGACAACCTGTTGGAGGTGAGACTTTTGGTATGAAATGTAGAAGAAAGCTTTCATTTTAGCCCAGCAAAATAGCCTAAAAAATGATGCGATTTTGTCTGAAACCCAAGTCTGCTGCCCTCTAGTGTTAACAGGCAGAAGGTGCAATCATAGAATTCCCATAAATAGATTTTAAAACAAAGATTAATTTACTGATCCCTGGGGGACAATCACTTTTGCAAGTAGACATGAAATTATTTAAAAAAATGTTTGGACAAGACAAGAAAAATTGACATCAAATTTATAGGACCACTTTACACATAACTGCTTTCCTTCTTTCTTTGATTGGTTTCTTGTTCCACTTGAGTTGGTGAAACATGTTCTTGCTCTTTAGCTTCTGTCTCAGGTCCCCCACTCATTACTCAATATGATACAAATGACCACCAAGACCATCAAAATGACCACCAAGACCATCAAAATCACCAATATCTGGTCTAAATGAGGCTCAAACAGCTCAAATTTGCTCAAAGTTTGCAAAAAGATGAAAAAATATCTACAAAAGTATCTACAAGAAGCAACAAAAACAACAAAATAGCTCAAATGTGAAATCAGCTGACCCCTATTTTATCCCAGAAATAAAACTTAACTCTGAACTGACAGATATTGAATCGTTAAAAGGACTCACGGGTCAGCAAACGTCCAGAGGAGCTTAAAGATGGACCACAAAGTGAATATAGACAAATCCACCCTGTTTCTAGTCAGTCGGCTGGAGTGCGGCCTTCACATGGCAGGGTTTATGGATCTGTTCAATGAATTAGATGTTATTTTTTGGAAATGAAGAGAACAAATAGGCCTCATGAACCCGGACAACAAACTTTAACTTCATTAATGAGCCCGTAGAAACGCACATAGATATGTCGATGAATCAAACTTGATAAAAAACTTGGAGGTTTAAGATGGAACGACTGCAGAACCACCAGACTACTGAACAGTTTCTTCTCCCTGCTTAACCCCACATAACACTCCTCCATTCCCCACACACACACACACACACACACACACACACACACACATACACACACACACGCACACACACACACTAAAACCTCCCCCCATGGACATGGACAATACACGCACCTTAGTTTAGCTTTGTCTTACACTCAATTGTTTCTCTTTGCAATAAACTCAGTGCAATATTCATTGAATGAATGAATGAATTAAACAGTCTTTATTTGTCATTGTAACAAGAAACAATGAAATGTAAAAAAAAAAAAAAAACAATAAAACAATGCATATACCCACAAATTACACACAATATAAGAAATAAATAACAAATAACTGCTAAAAAAAATGAATAAATAAATAAAAATAAAAAAACAACTAATAAATAAGAATAACACATTCACACACACATCATCCAATTTACACACAATACAAGAGATAAATAACAAATAACTGCTAAAAAAGTTAATAAATAAAAAAAACAAAAAAAACAACAACTAATAAATAAGAATAACACATTCTCACACACATCATTCATGATGATTAATGGTTATTTTGGAATTGATGTTTCTTTTGCAATAACTCTTTGCAATAATATATATATATATGCTCTTACCCTGTATATATCTAGTTCTTAGTTATAGAAAACACATTTATTAAGTAGGAATAAGGTCTTAGCTCTGTCACACTGGTAGCCAAGTCATCGACATTTCGTTGTCAAGATTCACCTTGTGTTTTTTGTACAATGACAA